CATGCTTTATTGTAATAGCGGTTTCTCGTTCCATCCGCTTACTGTACAATGCACGGCATGTCATCAATTAATACCAGATGAAGCTTTCTAGTCAGAAGACACAGCACCTCAGAGAATGAAGAAAGAACATTCGTATGGACACATTTTCTTCGGTGATCCCTGTATGGAGGCTTGGATGGTACAATACAAGCTTTTACAGCACATTTTTTGGAGTAGAATTTATTTTTTAATAAAACACTGGAAAAATAGTACAATGATTGTTTATATCATACATTCACAGAAAAATCTAAATGCATTAATAATGAACTAAAAATTACAGAATGACCTGCAAATACAAAAACAAATAAAAACCAGAAGTGGTATCCATTTTCTCCCCTAAACTCTCAACAACATTCTGATTAAGCTCTTTGATAGCCTTCAGTGTGCGGGATCATTGGAAAGGCCTGCAAAGTGAGTACACTGAGCTGAACAGGGTGCATGTGTTATGCAAAAACTCTTATTTTCCAGCAACAAACAGGACCACGGAGTGGATCAAGGTGGTTAATGTTACAGAAGTACATAGGATCAGCACCTTGTTACAAAATGACTGAGGGAAAGTTGCACAGGTTCAGCTGAAAAAGTCTCTTTCGACTTTGAGAACTATGTAATTAATGAACGACCACTACCTTCTGAAATAAGCCTCGGTTTCATCCCGTTTAGAGCTAGCGGGAAAGTTGAATGAAGTCAGGAACCTTAACAGGCACGTGATAATTTAGGATTTGAATTCGGTGACTGCAAACACCTGCAAAACAAAACTGTATTGATTTTATTTGACAGAACAAGAATTAGTTGTATTGCAACATCGGAAATATATCTGCAACCTATCATTAGATTGAAATGAAGTCTTCAGTTTTGAAAAGAAAAGATCCTCAGGTTTAAGTTGATTATTTGGGGAGAAAATGAATTTTACTTCTGGGTCGCTTTTTTGGGGGGGAGGGGGCACCCTGTATATTTCTTGGGCATGGTTTCTCCACCTCTTTGGATGAAATGTCTTCGTTTGGTGACATTTTGATGTCAAGCAACTCTCACAGTTTCAGGGTATTCTCAATCTCATGGTGGTAACAATCAGTTACAGGAAGTTACCCAATTCTTCTCATTAATCAGTTATTACAATTTGTGAGTGCCCAGTGCAAAGCCAGACAGGTGGGGCAGGTTGTGACCAGGAAAGTGGGACTTTCAGGAAAGTCTCCAATTTTTAATGCCCGTCTGGCGAATGAATCCTGGAAGCATCAGTCAAGATCTCCAATCCCATTCATTCTTAAAAATTACTATGACGGTGATACTTTTCTTATAACATTGACAGATGACAAACATAACTTGTGTCCTGTGTACACTAATAACAGCATCAAATTGGCAAGAGCTCTTAAATGTTCATTGTGTATCTAAAATCGTCTCTGACACTGATCTGGCTGCAAGTGTGAATATCCTTACCAGAGGCCTCCATTTCCAAAATTTCCTTAACTTGTGTTAACGACTGTGGCACGTATCTCACAAGAGGAAAAAGAGGTGGATGGGATTGATTGCGATTCTCACGGGACACACACATGATGTGACTGGTTAGCAGGGGCAGCAACCATGAAACACATGCTCGTTGAAAGTGATTTCCAGATGCTCAGCGGCTACATAAAAACAAGCCAAAAAACAAACTGTTTGTGACAAGTGAATAGATAGATTGGGTCTTCAAATATAGTGAATATTCAAAGCTGTAGGGATAAAGATTTTGGTAGGTGTATGAGTACATATGATTTGTATCAATTAAATTGCTCAACCAAGCTGGTCGACAAACTGCCTATTTCCTTGAAATATATTTCAGTTCACAATTTTGTTATTGTTAACTTGACATTAAATTAACAAATCATGTGAATTTTCCATTTTACTTTTAAAATTGATGGATGAAACACAATGCATTTATGGTTGACAGAGTCAACAATGCACTCCACTATGTGTGTGCTTAGGAATTCAGTCCATTAAAATTTTCAGTTTGTCCGAATGAACTAAAATTTGAATCTTAATTAAAACGAAGGAATATAAAACTCACCCGTATCATCGACATAATCTTTGGCAACTTTCAAGAACAGCTCCTCTGCAAGGGCACGAAAAAAACAGTAAAAACTTTTTCAGCAATTTTTGTTCAATCAAAAACTACGGCAATTGAACTCAATAGCAGACTCAAGGACATGTACATGCAGACAGAGGGTGGAACGTTTAAACACTTCTACAAAAAAGTTCCGAATCCATTTACAGATCTTCCCAAACATTTAAACTGAACTGCTTGACATTTTGACTGATGCAATCTGGTGTGCATTTTTATGGTAAATGATGCCTGTTACATACAGTTTTTCCCCTTCTGTCATCCATGTACGTTTTGAGAAAAACGTGGATTCTAAAATAGTAAACACTGCTTGTTTTAAATGCCTCACCATCAATGTACATTTTTACACTGGTTGGACCATGTGCATTGTTGAACTATATAATAATGCATGTATAAAAACACTGAGGTAGGGGCAAGTGGCCTATGTAATGTGTTTGCTAAACGTTTGAAAAGTATGGGAAAGTTTTTGTAAACGTTTTTCAAATGAAACATAATTTCCCACCCTTGATGTAGACAATCGGCTCACGAGAAATACCTCCTTTCAATGACATATCAGTTATTGGTACAATATCTCAAGCACAGAAATGTAATGCACACCCGCTACATTCAAGCTTGAAGAAACAGCTCTAAGGGTTACAAGTTCATCAAATTTATTTAACCAACTCTCACATGGTTGGATACTTACTGACATGGTAACCAGTTTTACTTGAAGTTTCAAAAACTTGTGCACGAAACTCTGTGGAGGAAATGGGTTATATTTTCAATTATTCTGTCCAGTGCCTGTAATGATTCTATACGCAAGATGACAATGAACACAGCTGAACATTGACGCAAGCTTACCCATTGAGGGAGTAAACAATTCCAACCCATTCAAGAGGATTTTTGACAGTCCTTTTTAAACAAGATTTGCAAAATATAAATCAGGACGACTGTATAAAACTGTACGACTTGATCAACCTGATTCTGGAAAGATATTCATGTATGCAACTACTGTACTGCATATTCATGTGTTTCCATGGAGAGTGCCAATAGTAGCTCACGCTACTTAACAGACTCATGCATTATGTATATAGGGAAATCTATATTGAATTAGTGCCACTTTGTTTCATATCTTGCTTTAATATCCCCTTTAATAGACAAAGTATATATAAAACTATTCAAGAACGAATCTATTAACCTTTTTTTTGGTAAAAAATCACAATGCTTTCATGGTAAATCATTTGTTTAGCATAATGTAAACACCGTCTTCAATGAATGAGACTGGGGTTGTGCTAATAAACGTTTAACTGACCTTTTGATACACCAATCAAACTGCCACTATAAACAAATATTCATATAATCAGGATTCTTAGCCAATCAGAGTGCTCCATTCAATTTTGGCAGCAAGGCCTATATGTGGTGCACAAAGGGGCTTGCAGATTGTTCAAGTCAATAATTGGGCACCACGGACATGCATATTGGAGAGCGAGGTTGCACTGACCGTTCCCGTGTGTTATTAAACATGCGTACACATCACAAGGAAGGTGGACTTCACCCGGCCAATTACCGACTTGATTTCAAGTCTACAGTCTGCAAGACGAAATTGAAGCCTATTTGAAGTATGGGCAGAAACAATAGGCGGGCACTATTTGAAGTGGGTAAATTTTGAGCGAAAACAAAAGATATTACCCACACTATATAGCACCCGCCTATGGTGTCTGCCTTACTTCAAACAGGCTTATCACCACCTGTAAACATAATCTACCAAAAACGTTTCGTGGTGGATTAATTTAAAAGGGTTTTAAGTACCTTTGGCGTAATCTGCCACGATGTCACTGTCCACCCGTCTAGCCTTCCTATTCTCCTCCACAAGGTCAAACTTAGTACCGCACAGATATATCTTGCAAAACTGAGGGGACAAACTTTTGTCACAGTCAATCTTCACACTATTGGGCATTCATACTTGGTAAAATTTACTGGTACACAGCTCTAGCAATTTGAATACCAGGACCAATTTGCAGAAATGAAAATTTCTTGACCACTCCATTCACGTCAAGATAATGTCACTTGTGGGCACCCAATTCTTAATTAAGAAACATCATTTTGAGAAAACTAAATTTAAAATCAAACATTAGAAACTGATAACTCAAACGTCTCTGTCTTGACTCATCAAGGGCGTTCATTTTTTTTCAGCGTACTACTCTGTAGACTTCTGCATTCAATATCACAATTAGATATTGCATACAAAGAAATTAAAATTCCAAAATTGAAATGAAGCTCTACAAAGCAGTAAGCAATGCTCAAAATCCACTTTTACATATTTTCATACAAAATTCCTCGATTTTGTAGTGTTGATAAATCTCGAGTTGCCCTCCCAAAACTTGGAAAAGCAATTCAATTTAACATATTTTACAACGTAAACTGAGCAAATGAGTACCTCTTCGCTCTTCTTCACTTCTTCCAGCCAGAACTTTACCCTGTCAAAGCTGGTTGGGTTTGTCAGATCTGTCAAGATTATTGAAAAAGACCACAAAAATTTGTCACTGTTTCACTAATACTGAGGTTTAAGTAGCTCACAACAATGGAATGAAATCATTCAGATGCCACCAACCCCGAAGCAATTGCGAGGAGAATCTGTCAACCCTTGCCTAATGAACAGGTGAATTTACCACCTCTCATTCAAAACAGACAAAGATGGAAGATAAAAGCAAAATAACTTGGATGTTTTGACAGAGATCAGTTTCAAATCGTTCAGAATGGAAAAGAGGGACGCAGAAAATTTAGAGTAACTTAATGCACTATTAGACATGTTAGACTATAAAGAATTTATTTGGTTTGACTACCTCACACATATCAATACCCCAGGGAAATCCTGTCTGTTACATTGTATTTCTGTCGTCTTTTGCATAAACAGTGGAACCACCCAAATTTCCAAATGACAAGCATAAAAACTCTCTGAAGGCATCAAACCATACAGTCATGTAGATTATGAGTAAATTATGATTACAGAGGGGTTTTTGGGTCACCTTGCATAAATCCAGCATTCAAAATAAATACTGGACTTGAACTTCATGAAATTATTCATAAACTGAATCAATCTCAACTCCATCACCTTCTTGTGTGTTAAAAATCACACTAAAACTGGTGGACTTTATGCCTGTTAGGATTTATGCCCGACCCACACTCATCAAGTGACTCTGAAATCTGTGATGGTAGAGTTGTCTCTCTGTCTACGTCAAGTTGTTTCAATGGTCCAGTTATCCCAGTGGATTAAGAAATAACAGCAATGGTTGAGTTTATTTTCTTACACAAGCTGTGGTTGTTCACACTTACCATAACATAATACGGCAGCCTGGGCCCCTCGGTAGTACAGCCGACTCAGGGCCGTGTATCGTTCATTTCCCGCCGTGTCCTGATAACAACACAATACATCACTGTACAATGTGATCAGATGGGTATCCCGGCACAGACTGGAGAGAACTGCCCAACTCAGATCCCCTTCCCAGTTCAGTAATTCCCCCCCCCCAAAAAAAAAATCAAGGTCAATTCAGGAACAAAGCACATGCGTGAGCCTGTGTAAGACTGCATTGACAGAGCATACATGGGACACGCTTCATATTGGCCCCACGCCGTTGAAATGCATTACAAGTACCAAACTGGCCCGTTGCACAAATTTACTCTACTGAGCAGCACTTACCCAAATTCCCATGATCAATTTTCGGCCGCACGCCTGAAGTTTCTTAGCATGATACGCTGCACCAACTGTCTATAAGGGTGAATAAACAAACATTAGATGTACACTTTCCTTGTTTACAAAGTATGTTTTGAGATAAATTTTTTTGCTGGCCTCGAATCGTTTACAGATATTTCTCCTGCATTTATTTTAAAAACAAAATGGGGTAATAAACAAATATGCGACTTTTCTGAAATCTGAATCACAGTCAGTGAAGAGTTGATTGATACATTAAAACTAAAAGGAGACAAGGGGAGAAAAGTAAATTGGTGGCGCGCAGTGATGCTAGTAATTTAGACGCCTAGGCCTAGCCTACATGGAACAGCAATTTAGTCAGCTTCTATTCCCAAGTTGGGCAGGATGACGTACTCTGTTGACAAAATTAGGTGTGCCGCAATTTGGCACTGGACAACGTTGGGATGCAGACTGGAGGTGCATGACATGTACATGTACATAGGTAAGAACATAATGGACAGGCTCGTTTACTTACTGCAATGCATGCACCACCTTCAAGAAATCTGCCATTGGTGTACCTCTCAATCAGGCAAGTCTTCCCTCCGAACGAATTGCCCAGTAACACAACCTTAAAATCTGGCGGACTCACACTCATTCTTGTCACTTGTGAGTTGTATATCGCTCACTGGAATGCCAGAGGCAACACTTGTAATTGGGCCTGTATCACATACTTATTTTGTTTAACACAAAACGATCTGGAATTTCAGCTGGGTTTTTGCTCTTCAGTGCCTTCTCGGTTTGGTATCCTCTCTGCTGGCTGACTAATTTATATGAATTAAGATGCCTGTCTTCGAAGCCTCTGTTACTGCCAAGACTGCATTTGTATTGTAATAAAATCGACGCCAAGTTGAATTCAAACTGAACACGGAGTCAGCAACAAGGCTTCAGCACATGTACATGTACATCCTACGGATTGGCAGTGTGTTGACGCAACGACATGCGACTGAGAGATTGTCGTCTGCTATTAATTACCTGCATAACAATTAACCGATCATCTCGTCAACACTGATGATTTCGCGACACGAACCATTTGTACGTACAGTTCATGTATACTACTACAGTACGGGAGAGCGCCAGTAGCAACTATACGTCATGCTACATAACAGACTCATTCATTTTGTATTATAGGGATTGCTATATTCGATGAGCTAGTTTCGGCTTTCATATCTTGCATTTATTTCCCTTTTACTACGACAAAGTATATACATAACTATTCAAAAACAAATCTTTTGGTAAAAAAATACCCGATGCTTTCAATGGTAAAACATGTTTTTATTGAGAATAATGTACACACCCTGAACGAGACTGCCGTTGCTGCAAACAAGCCGGGAGCTGAGTCTGGCCGGGCGCAAGCCACTGAGGTGCGGCCGGTCATGAATGATACAACATAATATTATGACGTAAATATGAATAAAACAACATGTGACGTTCATGAGCCGGTACATGTACACTGTACGGGTGTACATGTACCTGAATTGGGGCCATCTGTTCTCCGCATAGTACGCTCACAATTCCAGACCTAGTATCTCTTTTTCTCAAATGTACCTGACTTGCGCCCGTTTGCACTCCACGTGCGCTCAAAATTTCACACTTTAGTTTTTTTAAACTGAAATTGTGGGCGCGGTATGTGACGGTAGAGATGGGTGCAAGTCAGGTACATTCGAATCACCCCATCGGGTATAAACAGTTCCCTCTGATGAGCATAAAACCGATCCGCCATCTCTAATCAGATCGAGTCGTAATTGATGGCACGGGTGTGAATTTCATTTTTGCTTGGGCTTGTATTCTTCTTGAATGTAACTGAGAAAACTGTCTGACATCTCTTTTAGAATACTTTCATTGAAAAGCGCTTTTTTCCTTCAGTGGCGTGCGTACTGATGGGTCAGTCCTGGAGGGTGCGAGAGATTTCCCCCCCGAAACTTGAAACCGGCGAGGCGCCGGGGAGTGTTCCGCTATATCCGTAATGCAGTAAAACAATTACCCCCCCACCCACCGGCCGTTGCTCGTTTCTAAAAGCATTGTGGCACTTGAGGGCAATGAAAACAAACAAAAAACACCAACAACCAACCGACCAAAATAAAACAAAACAAAGACGGGTGGGTGCATTAAAGTGCTGGCATTACAACATGTACACAGCCTTGGTCCCAACTTTACTTAACCTGTACCGTAGTTGGTCCGCTCCCAACAAAAATTGTCACAATACATGTATGGAAGATGAGCCCCAAATGTGCTCACTGACAACTCCACAGGTTTGCGTTCTTATTCCTCCATGATTCTAATGGGCATTGGCATGCGTTTGGGGCGCAACCCCCCCCCCCGGCCGTAGTTACGCCACGGCTAAAAAGGTGTCACTTTTTGTCAGCTAAGATGGAAATCCGTCCAGATTGTCAAGGTTAATTGTACTACTAGGCCTACATACTTACATGTATATTAAAGTTCGGCGAAACAAACAAGTAGGCCTACAGATATGACGGTTTTTGCGGCATGCGAAGGCCGCCTGTCAGTCTGAGAAAATCTTAAACTGAAACCATGCAAGGACTCTTTGGCGGGAAAAAACAGAATGGTCTATACTTACACATCTTGAACATGTGTGGGCTTACTACTTAAAATGTCCAAGCCAAATACTGTAAAATTGTCAACCGCGACCATAATTTATATGCGTACTTTTGAAGCGTGGAAGGGCGGATCCAGCCTCGAGCATGGGGGGGCAAATTTATTATTTTATTCGGGGAGTCCAAAATTTTAAATTGTTCATGTAACTTTTCACAGTCTTTCTGAGGGGTGGGGCTACATTTTGGGGAGCAATACTTTTTGGAAGGGAAATTAAAATCCCAAAAATCCGCCAAGGAGATTAAGTGTAAGTGGAAACAGATTTCGATTTTTAATCATGCTTCGCTTTGAGGAAAGGAACATTCCACATGCCTCGCTCATGAACATTCACTGCAGCATAATTAAAATCTAAATCCATTGGGCAAAGCGCATTCTGTGGAACTGTTTAGAGCTTGGGTTGGGGGGTCGTAAGCCCGACACCACTCAGGTCTGCAAATAGTGGTTTAGATTTCCAAAGTCATTTACAGATAAGTCTTGAAGGTTTGCATGGTGAAGAGGTATAATAGAAAGCAGGTTTGCGGTAGCACCATGGACGTATCTCATTTGTGAGTATTTGTGGTTCTGAAAAGAACCAGTGATACTCGACGTTTCTCCTAATGACGAGCAGAGCATACTGCTCGAAACGTCGAGTGCCATTGGTTCTTTTTCAGAACCACAAATACTCACAAAAGAGATACGTCCATGGTGCTACCGCAAACCTACTTTCTATTAAAGTCATTTACAGCCCTGTGTTTAGGACAATGGGGATGTTTTGCTTCTGCTTTGTTTCGTTTGGTTTTTGCTTGTTTTCTTTTAATTTGGTTTGCCATGGAAGTGTTTATGCCCCCAAAACGCCTACACACGTTTAGGGGGCATATACACGTCAAAGTTGGGGGGAGGGGGGCTATTTGTTATTCAAAACTAACTTTTTGCAAGAGGGCCTTCTAAAAATTCAACAACTTAATCACCCAAATAAATAAAACAAAGCATTTAGTGCCAAAGATAGCTAGTAAATGATAAGTCGAACTTCGATGTCCCATTATCAAAAAAGAAGAAAAAAAAAAGTTAAATTGTCACAGTATCTGACGGAGGAAAGAAAATTTTTTTTTTTCATTTAATACCAACAAGATTAATGAGTACAATAATCACTGTATGGGAGGCTTGGAAGATGGAAGCTCTGATAGCATTTTTCTGGGTAGAATTTTTTTAGAAAAACAGTAGAAATATAGTAACTGTTTATATCAAATTTTACAGAAAACAAAACCTAAAGATGTGTCACAAAAATAATATTTCAGTAATATACAGCACAAATGTTTAAATATAAATTGCATTTAACACAGAAATGACTTTCTCCTTTGCACGTCACCCGTGCAAAATCAGACACTTTCCTTCAAAGCAGTTCCTTCACCTCCCGTAACAAATAAAAATATGCTCTTCTGGCAGCACAATTTTTTTGATGTCAAGAAACTTGTACCTGTACATCCTGACTACAATGCTCGTCTTTGTTCCACTACAGATTGTTTTGTGATCCTGTGGGATAGTCTCAAATTCAATAGCACCACAAGTTGTAAGTACTCAGTGTAAAGTCGCACAAGTGGGGCGTTTCGCCAGGGCATAGCGAAGGCATCTCCAGGGGGGGCGCAAGAGTCGTTTTGTGGGCTTGTAACTCTGCCAAGCTCATGTTGTGTAAGATGGAAATCCATGGTACACTACATTTCATGCTTTAGTGGAAATGTTGACGGCCAATGTATATCGTTTATGCACCAATTTTGGATTCACCTGCTGACTGAACCTCTATTTGCTGACTGGAATTAATTATGGGGGGGGGTGTGCAGTGCCATCCCCCCTTCCTGAGTCACTACGCCCCTGCAGAATGCTCTTAGGAAAGTAGGGCTTTCAGATCTCATCCAAGACGACTGTCCAGTGAATGCAATCTGGAAGCATCAGTAAGAACGGCATAAGTTCTAAAAAATTATTGTCGAAGTAAGACTTTCTCTTTCCATATTACCAGAGGATAGACAAACATCATTGTAACCCTTTATACACTTAAAGAGCACCTCCAAGGAAAACATGTTTTCTCAGATTTTATCTGTTCAAATAAACATGGAAGCATCCTAATTGAATACAGTGTCATTTGTTTTCAAAGCTCAACTACAACAAGCTTAAATGGGCTTTTTTTTCTGTTCGTGCCAAGATGCGAATTCTGAATGTAGATTGCGTCATTCTGGTGTGCACAAGGGAATAATCTACTACAAACACAGGGCAAGGGTCACGGTTCCCCTCATTTTCTCAAAATGACACAATCTACATCCAGAATTCACATCTTGGCATGAACAGAAAAAAAAGCCTTTTTAAGCTTGTTATAGTTGAGCTCTGAAGACAAATGACTCTGCGTTCGATTTGGATGCTTCCACATTTATTTGAATGGATAAAATCAGAGAAAACGTGTTTTCCTTAGAGGTGCTCTTTACAAGGATGAGATTGACCGATGATAAAATAGCTGAAAACAGCTGAAACAAGACATGAAGAAGCTGAACAACCTCCTATACATTTGTAAACAGCTAGTGAGGGAAAAAAGCTTTAGTCAGCTGAAAAGCTGATAAATCTCACCCCTGTCTTTCAGAAGAAAAAAAAAAGTATAAAATTTACAAAAATCCTTGAAACAATCACTATACATCTAAAAAGCAAAATATAAATGTGAAGTCAAATTAATTTTTCTGGCACAAATCTCATAAAGACGGGCAGAATTTATTGCAGTTCTTACTGGATGTACACGATAAGACTGGTTAGCTGGGGCAATAACAGCAGCATTTACGCTTGTTGTTAAAATCTTCCAAATGTTCAGATGCTACAGAGGGAAAATTACAAAAAAAAAGAAACTTTATTTGAATTGCAAATGGATGTGTAAGGTCCTAAGAGATAAAAAGATACTGATGGCTTTTGGTGAAATTACTAGCTCTGATCTGAATTACATATTGCTCGCATCTATCAAATTTACAAATACCATGTGTCACAGTCTTGTTCCAGTGACAACTTAACATGAAAAAAAATGATAGCAAGTTTCTACTTTTTGACAAAACATTTAGTTTTGAAATGGTTTGATGCCACAGTAAGCACTTTAAATGAATGGCAGTTCCAAAAATGTGCTCCACAACACATGCACATATAATTCAGTCAATGAAATATTTCACTTGTTCAGATATGACTTCAGAATATCGAAGAAATCTTAAAACAAAGAAATCTAAAACTCACTTGTGTCATAAGCAAAATCGCTGGCAATTTTAAAGAAGAGTTCCTCTGCAATTACAAGAAATAAAAATAGCAAAAACAGTTTTTTAACAATATTTGTTTGGTCATACATCCTGATGGTTGAACTCAAAGACAGATTGCTAAGTACATGTATAGGCAGAAATTTAGCCCAGAAATGATTCTTGTACAGCATACTAGTTACAGCTAGGCACAGTATCTTAAGTACAGAAATATACATGAATACCGGCTATACTGAAGCTTGAAGAATTATAAGCATACAATTACAATAAGGATTACCAGTGTAGCCACTTTACGAACGCTCAGTCTGATACTTACTGACATTGTAACCAGTTTTACTTGAAGTTTCAAACACTTCTGCACAAAACTCTGTGGAGAAAACAGGTTTATTCTTTTCAGTGATTCTATTCAGTGTACATGTATGTTGATGATTCTATTGGCAAAATGAAAATGACAAGTTTTCCAGCACTGTGATTGGCTAATCTATTAAGGTAGTTAAGGATATTACACGGTTCAACAGGACGGACATTTTATGCACCACACACTATAAACCATAAGAAAGCACAGCCCTCGAGTCACATTTTGCAAAGTCTCCATAATCACAAAGCTTTAGACAAGGTAGAAAAGTTCCAGTTGAGAAAGGGTTTGAGTACCGTCAGCATAATATGCCACAAAGTCACTGTCCACCTGTCTTGCCTCTCTGCCCTCCTCCACTAGGTCAAGCTTTGTGCCACACAGATAAATCTTGCAAAACTGAAAGGAAAAAGTAATTAAAAAACTGGGAAACCAAACTTCACTGCCATAGTGAAAGTTCTTCCCTGTCTGCATCTTGCATTCATTCTCTATAAAATTGTCCCGTTAACAGTGAATAAATTAAGTCACCAATGCATTAAAAACTTGTTTGTCACTTTATGAATAGCATACTTCATTTAAACAACTTCATTTTGAGTAAGCCACAAACGCCCAGTATACATGTAAATCAAATTCATCAAACCAGTGAAGGACTGTTTTAGTATAAGGTTTGGCTAACTCTGACGATCAGTGTCATTGCCAGACACCACATGGAAACAGTAATATACAAATTATAATATTTTATCCTTACAAACATTCCTGGATTGGAAAAACATCAGCTCTGGATGTCCTGCCAGCTAAATGAAAACTTCCCCAAACTGGAAAGCATAACTTTACGGAATAAAAAAATCTAGCTGAGCAAATGAGTACCTCTTCGCTCTTCTTCACTTCTTCCAACCAGAACCTCACCTTGTCGAAGCTGGTTGGGTTTGTCAGATCTGTAAAGGTTAGGAAAAAAACAACAACACAAGAACGACTCAAACTCTTACAAATACAGGTGTACTAACACATGTACTGAATTTGGCCCAGGGGTTAAGATTAATGAACACTTCCTAATCACCCAGTATTGGCTAAGTGAAACAAATTTGAACATAAATAGGTACATGTTATCAAGTAAACCTGAAGATCTACATGAGGGTTAAATTGTTTTCTTGTCAAAGTCAAGTTCTCTGAATGATCCAGACACTCCCGGTGAATGATAGAGTTGCCTGTTTAACATTCATGTTGGGGGCCGTCCATAAAGTATGAATGATGCACGAAATGCCATCTTTTCAGACCCCTTAAGCCCTGTACACGTACGCATTCCACATCTTTTGACTTCTCAGGGTACAAATGTCACAGTACATTGTACGTCTACTGTAGTACTGTTATTCGAATGACAGAAGTAAAAACAAGTTTTTATATTTGGTATTTCTTTATTAACAACCCTGGGAGATATTTACTTGGCAGCATGAAAAAAAATGTTGTTAAATAAAAACAGCCAAATTATCCCAGTACCTTTTTCTTATGCACGTAGTTACTTTGCACCTTGTGTTTCAATAAAGGAAGGAAAAATACTGTTTTCCACCTTAGAAAAATGATATTGTATTGAAACTTGATTAGGTAATAAAACTAATAACCTCCCAAAAATCAGCGGTCGATTTTTACTCAACCGTGGGAATATTACAGGGTTGTAAAATTTTAGCCATAATGTAATACATTACACTTCTGCATGGGTGAGGGCACCTTTGCACTTCCTGCAGACGCTGCCGGTCTTTGTGTCAGGAGTAATGCTGCACTTTACTAATAATGGACGTTGGCACGAGAGCATAAATGGTGGCAGATTCTGGTATTTCTTTGTTTGAGAAAGTGTACTGATATCATGAAAATTCATCAAAGATAAATATCGGTTTAGGTACGGTACGCACTGGCTTGAGCCCTCCCTCCCCTCTGTATGCATGGTGTACGCAACGGCACCAACCCCCCCTTGTGCATACGCACTTTATGGAGGGCCCCTTACCTGATATCCTCCAGACCTTAAAAGCAATAGTTGTTCATCTCAGATGGCTGAACGCACACACTCACCATAACATAATACGGCAGCCTGAGCCCCTCGGTAGTAAAGCCGACTCACGGCCGTGTATTTTTCCTGCCCTGCGGTGTCCTAAAAATACAGAGTAATCTCTTATATACATGTACCTCAGACAGTCTCCCTATTCAACAACGAGCAACTTGACTGTGTATTAACATCTGATAATGCCCGCTGAGAAGTGATAATGCCCGCTGAGTAAGTCAAGCACTGGTGCCTGGCTACAAGACAATTTAATGGATTCAGAATGGTCAAGAGTATGGGTGCACATGGCTCACCACTCGCATGCCAAGTCCATATAGGGAGATTCTTTTGGACAACTATAAAAATAAAATGGACAGGGGTGTTTGGGAAAATGAAAGTAATTCTATGACAAAATCATTGGAAATGTATCATTGGAAATGCATCATATGTTGACTTCTTTTGACTGTCCGTCTAAAAAGGGATTTATGAATTTGAATAAATAGATGTGTGTGCTTGGCCGGTCTTAACTTTAAGACCGGCTCGGGAGACTGAACGCTGATAATCAGTTGCATCCATTCTCCTGAGCTGGTCTTAAACGCACGTTTAAGATCAGCCAAGCACATCATTTTTATCCCTTATTAATTGCGGAGAAACTGCTGACTTGTGTCCCATTCACACCAATGTGAATGCAGTCTTTGACGAGTTTAAAGATGAAGCCAATTCCTTCCTGAAATGACATAAACAGCCAATCATCAAAATACACTGTACGCTTGCAGTGATTTACCATCACTTACCCAAATTCCCATAACCAATTTTCTTTTGTCCACTTTAACTTCCTTAGCACAATATGCTACGCCAATTGTCTGTGAATGAACAAACATTACATAAGTTGTCCATACAATAGGATAGCTTTATTTTCTAGACTTGAATAATTTACAGATCTCGCCCGACTTTTTCGAGAAATTGAACATGGGTAAGCAACAAGTACAAATACGATGAAATCGTATTGAATTTGAAAAGAAGAGCCTTTAGGCTCGTATTCAGTTCAGGCAGATAAAAAAAAGTTGGGCATGACCAACTGCGTCGACAAAGTTGGGACAGTAGGAATTAAACAGATCCATCGACTGGAGTGTAGACATGATCAAGGTTTGTTCACTTGCCGCTTCAGCTTCCATGAATCTGTCGCTGTAGTACCTCTCCATCAGGCAAGTCTTCCCTCCACATGTATTGCCTAGTAGCACAACCTTAAAATCCAGCCGTCTCATCCTTGTCTGGCTTTTACTGGAATCCACACAAAGGACACTACATGTGTGCCGCTTTGCTCATGGTTCTTTAGAGACACTTGACGAAATGCGTTCTTGATCTTCTGAGTCTAGTGTCCTCTTTGCCGGGGGACGTCATTTCTGTAAAGATGTCAGTCTTTTGTTAATTTGGCAGGAAAGAGTTCCATATGCCGACGCCACTTGACATCCGGTACATAAACTCTTTAGACTGGTGTTCTTTGAGAGTTTTTTCTCAGTAAACTACTCGGTATTTTCCCTCCTAAATTGAACTTTTCTGGACATATTTTTGCTTTCTGATCGCTAATTAAGTAACTGTAGTGACTAATAACTGGGATCCGTATACAATTACTCTCAAATGTGAGAAAATCTTTATTCGTTCATAACATCGACACCAACTCGAATTCGAGCAAGGCTAAATTGCGATTTCTAGCTAGCTAATCTACTTCCGGAACTGTGAGGCATACCAGTGCATATGCATACTACGGAGTAGTAAGTTAGTAGTTAAGGAAGTTGTCGAAATATTCCTCCATCACATTCCTTTGATGTGATTAAATCTTGGCTTACCGGGTTCAGTTGTCCACTCCAAGCGTCCTCCTTTTAAAAGGAGAGGTAATCTACACTAAAAAATAAACAAAAACCAAACATTTTCACAAATAGAAGTATCGGCTACTGCACTGGTGCCGTGGTGGGAAAGCTAGTTCGGTCGACTGGTTCCCGACCCATGTCCTTGGGGTTGCGCTCTGTACCAGTTCCCTTGCTCGAAAGACCGAGAACCAGGCTGAGACAGCGCTCCGGCTGCTCGTGTTGTTGTTTTTTTTTCATTTGGGGTTTCCCCCAGCCCAGCCCACTGTTTGATGCATTGTAACTTGATTGTCTTTTGACGAAGTTTACCAACTTACTAACAAGGCAATCTACCTCTATGATTTACAGTCAGCCGTGTGAACATCATCAATAGTACTTCAAACTAGTTCAGCCTTGCTCCGTCGGCCAGACCCTCCGTGCTTCGTTTTCCGAATTCCGGGAGCATTGCTGAGTTGAGATCGGCTACATAATGCACTGAGTGACACACGTAGGTTCGACTTCATGTACATGTAGCTTTGAGTGCTTACCATAGACCTGGAGGATTGCTTTTTCTCTTTCAGGCATGTTCAGGTCTATCATGTCTATGGTGTTACTCCCTGGTCATCTGCTAACTTCCAGGATAAGTAAAATTGGCCGGCCATTTATACTAAAAGGCCGGCCAAAGAATAAATAATAGCAAAGAAGCTAGTACATAATGTGCCCCAGCATTACTTCCACTTCCACCTGTTAGGCCGTACTCCATGGAACATCCAACAACTTGGAGAAAATTAAGCTATGACGGGAAGGTAGCATTTGTGACAAGACTCTTTGAATGAACTTCATGGGTATTGCCAAGATTTATTCTGGGGGGAAGGGGAATCCACTTTTTCGGGGGGAGGGGGGTTGGATTTCTGGGGGGCAGGGGAGGGGGAAGGGGCAGAGGCAAAACACTCGTCAGCTACGACCAGATAAACCATTAATGGTGGTCAACTCTGATGGTGCAAATTTTTCCGGGGAGGAAAGCGTTACCCTTTCCCCACTTGCCAAGCTCATGATGAACTGTACTCTCCTTCCTCCACAGTAGTCTTTTCAGGACAGTCAGCGTACATGTACATGTACCATTAGGCCAAGCAACAATGGGAGGGAAAAGCAGTAAATTCCAGGGTATGTTTGTGTTGATTTCTTTCAATCAAAAGCACATTTTGTTATTAATTCAGCCCAGATCACAGCCTCATTTTGGTTTGGTAAATGTTTGAATAACTTTTCATCTTTTGAAAAAGAGTGTTATGTCAGAATTAATTTTACTCCTCAAAGTTAACACAATGCAACAGAAGGAAATTTAGTTAATACAGCTTGTCTAGCAGAAAACAATTTCAGATTGAGCTGAATCATTGAGTTAAGATTTTGAAATTCAAATGTAATTTCTCATAAAACGTGATGCAACGGAGTTTTCCATTAAGTAGCTGAGATTTAGCTTTAAATCCTGACCAGAAAGCAGAAGGTACACTCAAATAAATTGTGAACTCGTTCAAAGGATTCAAGGGTGCCATATTAGCTGTTCTGCATAATACCTTAATGGTGCATCAGGCCTGAGTTTACTGTTAGGGATCTGATGAGATACATGTACATGTGTTTAATGATGAAAATGAAAATCATTAACTTTTATTTGGGGCACTTAAGTTAAGCATCGCCCTTTTCGGTAAAAAAGCTAGATCTTTTGTTGGACGTTACTTTGTTATACTCTCTGAATATTGCTCCAGGACGAACTGTTGTGGAGTACTGTCAACAGCAAATTATTCAGTACTACCAGGACACAACCAGCACCATGCCTGCACATCCCTTGGATCCTTCCAGGACCGTGGACATTGACAAGTTCTTTTTCGATTTGGAGCTCACTCAACGAGGCAAGCAAATAACCCGCAAACACCTCACCTTACCCTGGGAGGAGCGGATTCTGGACAGAGTGGAGCATGTATCCCTCAAGACATGGGAAGACTTTTTCCGGGTGGAGAAAGTGGGCGGCATCAAGGTGCTCATTTCGGGTGGGGCAGGATTTGGCAAGTCAACGCTGTTACTGAAAATTGCAAATATCAGCAGCGTGCGTACCAGCAGATCTCCGCTTTCCAAGTTCAAGTTTGTGTTTTGGGTGAAGTTGAGGCAAATGCAAAAGACGAGCTGTGTTCTTGATGCCATTTGGGACCAAATCATGCCCAAGGACACACAACTGGGGAAGGCGGATTTGAAGAAGCTTCTTGGTGATCACGAAGCAGAGACTGCATTTTTATTCGATGGCTTGGATGAGATTCCCCCAGATATTCTGAGATCTCCGGCCCCAGAAGATGGGTACAGCATTCAGGATGTCTTGTATAATAGGGTCTTGAAGAAAAGTTTTGTCTTAGTGACAATGCGACCGCACATGGTTGACTACGCCCTGAAGGGATACCCACAATATGCCTGCGTTCAAACATGGGGGTTCACATCCACAACCGCACACAAATACATTACGGCATATTTTGCTGAAAAAAATGCCAGCTCGACAGCAGACAAACTGATATCGACACTGAAGTCCAGTCGGTCTTTTCAGTCACTGGCTCAGATACCAATCATCTTGCATTTTATGTGCATCATTTGGGAAAACCTGGGGAAGCTGCCTGAACGACTGACGGAGCTTTACACGGAGTTCGCCGAGGTTCTTGTCAGTCGCCAGTGTGGTGAAGATGAGGATAAGAAGCTGCTGATGACTACACTTCTGCGTGAACTAGGACGAGTCGCTCTGAGCGGGTTGCTCGACCCCAAGGGAGAAAGGCTCATGTTCTCCTCTGAGGAATTTGAAGAGGGCACCTTGAAGGATGGGTGTCGATTGGGCTTCCTTCAGCAGGAAAGTTTCACGAGTGGTTTGAGGGCCATGCGAGTGGCTACCTTCCTGCACAAGTCCTTCCAGGAGTACTGTGCGGGGTACTTCTTGGCCAATTTGCATCATGCCGACCAAGCGATGTTCCATGAAAAGTTGCGGCAGATGAATCTGAAAAAGATCTACGCCATGGAGTATCTGCTTCGGTTTGCCTGCGGCGTAGCATCGGGGTCTGAGGCTACTGGTCTCATCCTGGAACACCTGCAGAGGGAACTCGACCAGCGGAACTGTATTGACAAAAGCAGGCTGCATGGCTTGGCACGCTTGTTGCTGTTTGAGTCTGGTTCTGACAAATTGGCCGACAAGCTGCAACAGCCGGCTGAAGTGATGTGCAAGAGCCAGGAAGATTTAGCAGCATTGCAGCATTACTTGAAGTGCATTCCCAATCCACTCGAGGACACCAAGTTCGCTCTGCACTGCAGCTCCTACGAAGCATTGACATGTCTGAGGGAAGTTCTGCTGAGTGGCAAAATCAGGCCGGCGACCAGTCAGTCAGCCACCAGTCAGCCTTCAGACAGCTCAGTCGATGTCGAATACACCTTAGCTGAACGAGGCAACAAGGAGATGTCGCACCTGGAGAGAACACTTAAAGAGATGGAGGCAGAGCTTTGTGAAAAGGTACGGTTAACACTCTCAACTGACGAGAGGTCAAGCTTTGACGACGAGCACGTTATGGGACAGTTACCCAACGTGTCAAATCAGCTGGTGGAAGTCTGCTTGTACGGCGGATCACACAGCGATGCCTTTAAACTCGCAAATGCACTGAACAGATGCAAGAGGTTAGAGCACGTTGGCCTGTCCAACATCAACCTGCACGGTCAGGTGTGCGGGTTAGCCCCCCTAGCTCCTCCAACCCTACAGTCCTTGATACTAATTGCATGCGGGCTGGATGACGATGACGTCCCCGATCTGACCAGCATCCTCCCCGCCGGCCATGGTCTTCTGAGGCTTGACGTCCATCACAACATGCTCACTTTGAAGGGAATGAAAACTCTAACTGCTCATCTCCAGGGCCTACCCAAACTGAACACATTGTGGCATTTTTATGACGGTCGTGATGCCGATCGTATCAAACGGGTGGTCGAGCAGAATCTCCCAAATATTTACTATGCGTAATACAACAGCAAGTACTTTTAAGAAAAAATATTTAACATATGTTAAACCCCTCCCTTCAATAATAACAAACACTCAGAACTATTTATCATCGAGTCTCATTCAAAGACACAACTGGGTCTAAGATGAAGAATGGGTGGGTTGTGATGCCAGTGAGGTTCATAATTACAATCAGTAATTACATAAGTACAATATTTTTGGATAAAAATCAAGTAGTTAAAGAGCTTCTACTTAACATTTTGAGATGGCACCATTTTATGAGTGTTTTACAATGATTGTGTTTCTTGATGTTCAAGTCTGGTTCCGAGAGCCATTCAAGTGGATCTAGGATGGAAGAATGGTTGGGCCACATACAGGGCAGGGAGAGTGTCGTGAAAAGGACAAATACAGCATATGTCACACGTATATAATTTTCCTGATTTCAGGCTACATGTAATTAATTAAAACAATCTTTCAAATCTGGAAGTTCTGAGTTGAGATCATAACACAGTGACGATCTTCACTTCTGAAATAAAACTGCCCTTTTTGAGTGTCATATTCCATGATTGAACATTATGAACGAGGTGTACCAGTAGGCAGGCATGGTGAGACAAATAGAAGTGGCGATGTTTTGTATGTATACATGTACATATCAGACTTATCATGGTTGGCTTCTCTAATCGTACAAAAGTACTTTTTTGTACATGTTAAATTTGAGCGAAAATCAAACTTGGTATTTCTCAAGCACTTCATGAGTTTGTAGTAGCCCCGAGTCGAATTTCTGTCATTACCTTTTTGTTTGTTACGTAACGTGAGCAGTGAAGCGCGTCGCCATTTCTCTTTAAATAGCCCCTATTGCCACGTGTCTCTCTCATTCTTTCCTGTGTTGCTGATGGTCACAGCGGTCGCTTCACTACTCCGAGTTCCTGTGCTTCTTTCTGGGTGATTCCGGTTGTTAATTTTCATCCTTTCCTTCGCGTTCGTCGTTGTGGTGAACCGGGTTGTTTGGCAGTAGCATACAGCTAATATATTCTGGTGAGCTACAACGACGGCATTTCATTTCATATCTTATTTTATTGGTTACCCAGGTAGTCTATTTGCTTTCCTTTTGATATAAAAATCCATTTACTTTAGTTTGGAAAAGAAGAAAACTGCATTAAAAAACCCCACAAAAAGAGAGACTTCAATTTTTGTAATTTATTTTCTAAGGCGAAGTAGCCACTCTGTTTTCGGAGGTAAAGTAGCCTAAAATTTAGCACTCTGTAAAAGTTCTTGAAATACATGTTCATGTACTGTACGTGTACCTGTGCCCGCAAATGGATTTCCAAGGTGGGACTTTTTTCACTTCCAAAGATTTTGATAAAGTTCTGTTACTGTAAATAGGTGTTGTCATACAAATGAACATGTACTGTACATCTAAGTTATTTTTAAACACTCTTAGAGATGGCAGCAGTGGCGTAGCGGGGAGGGGGGCATGTTCCCCCCCACAAAGTCCCAGTACCCCTCAAGTGCCCTCCCACTTAAAAAAATAACGGATCAATGGATATTGAACAAGGCTGACAAAAACTCAGTTGCCCCAAAAAACCACACCACTGAAAGCTGGTGCCCCCCAAAAAGATGCTGGTGCCCCTTTGTGACCCCCCTACTAGTAAAATCCTAGCTATGCCACTGGATGGCTATGCCATCATTACATGTATTTTAACTGTGCCTGATGGAATGTATTCTTGCGCATAAAGTTTGAAATCAAAAGCAATCTTTTTCCCTACCTTTATTGCTCCATTTGTCTGTGTGGAAGAGAACATCTGTATACCATGTACATGTAGATCTTGTCCATGTTTGCATTGCGCTCAAGTGTATTTTATTTGGGGTCATACTATTTGGCGTCATCAAGCATCAAGTTATTCAAACATATTTATATGCAAAAATTTTATATTTTTAATATTAATTTTTAATCACATTCAGTGGATCACACTTAATTAAAATAACTAAATATTTGAATGTGAAACTCTGAGCGAGTTGGTTCTGGTCGTGCAGCCCAACCGGCCACCATCTTGTTTTCGCGTGGATGGGAGAGAAACGAAAGATGGCAGCCTAACACATTAAGAAAAACTTTGCAAATTGCGTTTTCCTGGGTGAATCTGGAAGAAAATGTGCTGTTTTCCTTACACAGTGGGGTCTGTAAAATATGATAAAACCACTTTGAAATCTTTAGAGGATAGTTTCAGGTTTTTGACACTTTGACACTACGTGTTTGTGTTTATGCTTGTTGACGCTAAATGGCACAACTATTTTATTTGCAAAGAAATGGAAGGGACCCTTTCTGGCCTAGGCAAAGAGCTGTTGGGAGTATAGGTATTTAAAATATGTGTAGTCTCTCTCTTTAAAGGAAGTTTGACACTGACGTGAAGGCACATCAGCCTAATTTTGGAAATGTATACAAAACAATTGTGTCCCAACATGGAGGAAGGACACCTCCATGGTCCCAACAAAGCTATTTTGCTCAGCCGATCTGGGCAGGGAATCTGAACAAAATTCAGTTTTTTAAAGACACGTGCACAGGAGGAATATGGTCCATCTGAGTATGTGACTGGGCTGGGCTGTGGCTAGCCCAGGAAGGACAGGAAGATGTCAGTTGTAATGTCCAATGAAGGCTGGTGCCCAACTTGGGCTAGGGTGTGTCAAGAATGTACCACCCAGTTCAATATCTGCTTCCCAAGAGCCAGCAGCCCACAATCAGCTAATTTGTGTTACAACTTACCTGTGGTCACTGTCCCTTCCTATTCTGGCAGTAAAAGATCTGTGCATCCTCCAAATGTGACCCAAGGTTTGAAAACTACATGTAAATGAGTCACAAGTCACCAGGGCAGCTTTTAAGTGAAAGCCCTGTCACGGTTGTAGCATGTACTGAGAGCCCTCAACAGATTTCACCAATGTGTTGTCCCTTTTCCATCCGGATGCCAAGCTGGTGATAAGAGCCCAGTCTTCTTTTCACACATACATGTAGACTAATCCCCTTAAGACATGTCTTGTGGGATCAGGTCACAAACTCCATGTATGCAGACAAACAAAAGGCCCAGGGAACTTTCAGACATCAATGTGCACTTTGAATGGCGGTGAACATGGATGTACATGTATTGGCTTCACGACAGAACTGCAGAATGAATTTAAAACAGTTCACCAACCATGTCAGTGAGAAATTTGGGAGTGCAGATTAAGTATAGAAAATGAGGAAATTAATAAAAGGGTTGAATGCCAGCCCTCCCAAAGTTGCAAACAGCAGTGTAATATTTCACGAAATTCTTTTGACAAGGGACACTGCACCTGTTAAAACTAATTTTACCAACATAGCTTAACATATGAAACAAACTATGGGACAGAGAGAACCCCCCCCCGCCTTTGTTTTGGTCATCGTTATACTGGAATCTCGGGAATTCTTTTGAGACATCTAGGGGGATGTGTTAATTGACAATAGGTTGGAGCGTGTACAGGGATTGGACTTGTTGGGGGGGGTACCCCTCTGTCCCATTTCGTGCCTGGTATATAGAATAAGACTGGTCTTCTGGTGTCAGAGACAAGTGAAGAAACAGAACTTCTGTATCTCAAACTCATTTACTCATTGGCAAAGTAATCAAATTTACAGTTTAACTTATTTACAAGATGTGGCATAAGGAAAGTGGTCAGAAAAACAGGGCACAGTATCTGACAGAACGAGAAGGGAACATTCGGGAGATTACTTCACTGATCTCATGAGTTGACCGAGACATCAAGACCTTTTTTTTTATTAAAATGAACAAATATTGGTAAAAGGTCTGCTTATCTGCAAGAATTAGACAGATCACAAGACTATGTTGTACCTTTGAAGAGATATGATTTACAAACAGAATTTGCCTCCCAGTAACTGTTAGACAACATTCAGTAATTTACACAGAAGCATACTGTTTCAGGGGAAGGAATGGAGCCCCAAACTCTGACCAAACTAACAGAAGAAGTGAAAGCAAAATGTCATCGTAACTTCATGTACATTTGTGGAGCGCTAGAAAATAATATAATATACAATAATTGTCCTCATCATGCAATAAGAGGGAAAATATAAGTAAGCAATAAAAGCAAAATATTGATTTATTTCTACTAGATTTTAATTTCTTTTAATTTGATATATAAAACTTGATCCAAACATTTTTTTTTCTTTTTGTTCCACTGATGAATGAGTCCAACTACACAGCATCAGTTGGTCGGCTGTCCAGATTTAAACTTAATTATTGACAAAGACACTTTGCCTGGTTGTTTTATTTTGTTTGGTCTTATACATCGTACCAACCCATACTTCAATCGTCCACACTGATCCACATTTCCAGGGAAATGACTGTCATTTTGGCATCAACAATGCACAGAACTGTCATTCAGACAATTTCATTTTGCTTAAACCCAGGCAGCACTTACAGCTTGAATACACTTTTTCCACAGAAGTGTCAAAAGGGGGTTGTGGTCTGAATAGAATGTGTTTGCCAAAAAAAAAGCTCTTGTCCAAAAACTACAGCATACATTAAAAAAAAAATTTGACCAGAAAGCAAAGCCAAAATTTATCGCCCTAATCAAAAAATGTTTTGAAAGAAAAAAAGTATAATTAAACGGTGATTTAAAATTACTTAGAATTTAATTAAAATCAAAAATTGATTCCTGTGTCGTTCTGCCCTTGAATAGTTTGACGGGATTTTTTTTACAATACAAGCACATGTCAACGTTTCCTTGGAAAAAAAGGGTAACCGTGAGTGACAACTGTGATTCAACCTACATGTATGTGACTTCAAAGTAGTTTGTTCACCTCTGATATAGAGGGGATAGACTTGCTCGACAACATTTAAGGAGAAGTAGTGCTCAACAAAAACTGGCAACACTTGTGTCTGCATTGATTGAGAGGCATCCGCCAACTCGCTTCATTACTCCCGTGAGAACATCGAGGGAGAAAAATATCAAAACAGAAAGTTGCCAGGATCCACTTTGCGTCTTACTTATCAATCGTCAAACACAATCTGTGAGTGCTCCGCGTCAAGTCATACAGTGGGGCTCGAGACTACTTTGGGGACTGCAGAGAAATCCACGATGATTTAAGCTGATGACATTTGGAAGTGCCGGGCAAGGGGTTCCGTAGCTCATCAGACAGAGTCAGCTTTGCAAGGTTCGTTTTTCTTTTACACTGATTGGGGACTCGTCTAGCCTTTTTTTTTTATACACTCCATATCCATCAATTCTGAACGCCCCGTTTAAAAGAATTGGCAACGTGATATGAAACAATCTGTGAT